GAGATATTTTTGTTATAGCATAACATATTCAACTATTGTCGCTACACTGATCAAATGTAAAAAATATATTGTTTGTTTGAAATGTTCATCGAATTTGACTTAAGCCCAAGAAAGTTACCGTTGTTGTTGTTTTGTTATTGTTGTGTATACATGTTCTGTGATATAATTATTATAATAGTTAAATTATAGTTTATGTGTACTATTATTGCGCCCAAATAGAGAAAATCTTTTATCATTCGGAAAAACATTCCACAACATTAGATCTAAAATATTATCTATCAAGCTTTATCACAATTTAAAAGGTTCATGTCATATCAACTTCTTAGTAGTGTAGTTTTTTATTTTAAGGCAATATTTAGTTTCCAAACTCCCTGAATAGAATAAAATCACCAAGTTTTGGCTTAAAAACACAGTATAATCTCAATTATTTGTCTATTCCATTGCGTCCTCAATAATTTGTGATATCTTTTTACATATTTTGTTTATATTTATTGTTCTATATATCCACTGTGATAGTAATGCTTTAAATGGTAACCTATTTTAGGAGAGCCTTTATTCTTGGGCCAAGAAGACCAAACAGGCCTTATATTATATCAAATCAAATCAAATACATTTACGTAGAATATTTTTAATGTTATATCATTAATTAGTTTGTGTCTTTGTAAAATGTGTTGTTATAAACATAAATAAAACTCTTCTCTCTGCAAATCATCGTGATATGGAATATTTATACATAGTATCAACTGAATTTTGTCTATTTGACAACTAGTAAAATCTTGTATCACCACCATTGTCTTGTCAAAATTTTTCTTGTCAGACCATACAGAGATTAATATTGTTGATTATTATTCGTAAAGACCACTTATAACGTCCACACATCATTGCCTTATAGTGTGTTTGTTGCCCAGTAGTAAACAGGATATAGATTAGATAATAGAACCTGGGCTTAAAGAGCATTAATTCCAGTATCGAGATCGACCTAACAAACTTTCTTATGCTCCATATAAGTAAATCTCTGCTTTGAAATTGAAAGATGTGGCAGAAATACCAAATGCTATTAAACAGCAATGCCTACAATCTCAATTAATTCAAAGTATGACGTTTCTTTTCTATTAATATGTTTTAATACAACTGATCAGTAAACACCATATTGGTTACGACGCCAGTATTCAGTTCTGATAACAGAATACATGAATGACAGACACTTTAAAATAAAACACAAGATATCAATAATTTCAACAACTGTTTTCTTTTGATGTGTGAGAAAAGCTTTTATGGAGATTATAATGTGTGGTGTTGTAGGAATGTATGTTAAAAATTGATTTGTTTCAACATTGATAGACAGTGGGGAATGAGCACCTCCTTGCTAACATATTATCATTATAAACTTAAAACAAAGGAATTTAAGTTTTAACTTCAAAAGCATTTAAGATGAGTTTTTTTTCTGAAAACAAATTATTTGAAAAGCTTTTGAGTTGTCAGACCGTTGTAATAGTTGGAAGGTAACCTAGGAATTGACACCGACTTCTAAACACATTACTAAACTACTGGAGAAAAAAACATGACATGAGCGAAATTTCGACGGCTCGAGATCACTTCAACCGGACTATATTACAGCCATGAGGTTGCATGGGATTGTCTGCGGAAATCCTGTCGGTAAGAGTAACAACTGGGGACAGAACAGATCCTTTTTACGTGACAGCTTTATAGTGATGTCACCAGAAAGTCTCGGGGTCTGATAAGAGACTTTCGTAAGGCAGGTTTGATATCTGTCAGATACGTCCCCTAATGAGTTGACTATTTACATCGAGGATTTCCTTATCATTTTATCAGATAAGCTACCTAATAATATTGGGAAACTGTATTAATGGTCATATTTTTAAGATAATATGAAGGTTTAGTGACAAGTGAAGGGCAATTTTTACTATAAGTTATCAGAACGGAAAGTTAAAAATTGGCAACTCACTACTCGTGTAATAACATGTTCCCAAAAAATACTCATTGTCTCAACTCTATCGACAAACTTTTAATGATATAGTAGAGTAAACTATTTTCGTGGATATAAGGATTCAACATCGAATTTCATCAAAGTTAAAAAAACGAATTTTTTTTATGTCTTTGATGTTTCCTCAGATATTCTACAAAATAATTAAAATTGGTTTATTTCGATTTTCTTTATGAATCCTTCACTTTGACCCATATTTCATGAGCAACCAACTCGGCAACGGCGGCAGAATGCGTCACCTTTTTTCGTGTACAATGTTTGATCTATAAATAAGTCTAGAAAAACACGTTGTATGGATACCGGGTGGTAGAATTAACTTCTCTTAGTATTTATCTTTAATATCAAAATTTCATTATAACTAGTGACAATTCCTTCAAAGAACCACGATTTAAAAAAAAATATAGTGTCTGACAAAATCAGATACGTAGCGTGATTTATTGCTAAAAGTCACTGAAACAACATAAGAATATGGTCCACTTTGTGTTCCGTAGAAATTTTCTGCTGACACGGAATCCGCTAGTTGATCACGTGACTTCATTCGTTGGACTACATTCTAGCAGACGACACTTGGAATTCTGATTACCGCTTGGGATTATAAGGAAATTCGGTGACGTTTGGTAATAAGTGAAATCTGCCATTTTGTATTTGTCAAAGTATACGTTAATACATTTTACCTTGCTTGAAACTATTGGATTCATTCTACTAGCTGATATTGTACAGAAAACCCATATTTATCAAAACAAGCAAATGCGGAGGTCACGCGAGGTCGCACATGTAAATTATTAATCATAATCAAATGCACGAAAAATAGGTTTCCACGAAATTAGGTTACTTGACTGTACATTAAGCATCAAAGAAATTTCAAATTTAATTTGTTATCAATAAAAATTCTGTTGAAGATCTTTTATAATTGTCCACCTGTGTGTATTGATACATGTCAATCTATGTATTGACCAGACCAGGTAAATACAACAGTATTATCTGTAATATCAATTTAAATCTTATACAATTTCCATTTACTTCTATAATGTAACTGATAACAGTCACAAAACCTTTTAATAATCTTTACTTCATTAATGGATTTCTATCTAACTTGCGATAAGGTTTAATTTGCTTTCATCGAAATTTGTGACAGCCTTGGTTGACAATCTGTAACTTGAATAGTAAATCGTCAGTATATAATGTACGTATGGTTTCCTATGCGTTTCTTTAGATTTGAACAGATTTGTTCAGATCGTTACGATGAGCTCTGTTCTGAAACTTCTGTAGTCAGACAAAGGCATAATAATAAAATGGTTCCAAGACAGGGCTTTTTGTAACTTCAAACATTATTTGTAGTATTGAAGTCGAATTTAAATGATAACAGATTGGATTGGATCCATTCTGATAAATATGATTGAAATCATTGCGATGCAGGTCATCAGTTTCCTAACGACACCTATGACACCAATGATTTACGTTGAACAAATCACAATGTACATTATGTAAAGATAGAGAGTTGGTATCAATTGTTTTGTTGCAGTTGGGCCAATAATGTATTGTATCGATGTCTGGGAAATGAAAATGAAATGAATGTAGTTTTACGTCCCACTTTTCTGCACCATGTTGTCTAATGAAGACGGGCAACGCCACGCAAGGAGCTATCAGGGAAATTTTGCCCGGACAGCCTGCTCTTTTTCGATTTCCAACTGTCGAGAGATCTTGAACGTACAGCCTGTAGCACACATGTAGCACACATGTCAGCCCCTCTTCCCTGCAACACTGACGACGGGAAACCATCGATGTCTGGTGCAAGAATTCAAGTTCCATTGAGTTTTGCAATATGTTATGTATACATGTTCTTGGTTTATTGAAGAAACAAATGTTGAATTGATTGATATGTTCTTTACTTGAACTATTTGCTAAGCACTTGCAAAGTTAATAAAAGTGCGTCAAACGTGTTTTCCTACACTTGCCATTATTTAGTCATTGACATCCAGACCAACTTGAAGTTGCCTGGTTCCAACTAGGACATTTAAATCACTCAAACTGGATGACAGAGGCTCAATACTTAATATTGAAACCAATCAAATGTCGATAAATCATACCAGGATTAGTAAACTGAACGTTGATTGGTCGATAAACGGACAAGGTAAATCTGGGTGTTGACATTAAGTTTACGTTTATAATATTAAATTCTACACTAAGATAAGAATGATAAATGAACGCAAATGTTAAAATGTCAAAATTGGAAAATATTAAATCGGATTTGAAAATGATATCTTTATTTCGAGGAATAGTATGACCGTATCAAAGGTAAGGTAAAGTTTGAAGATAACATAATCGACCAGCAATAAGCAATTTTTTAATTTGAGACTTGATGGTAACTGATGGTCATAGGTTAAGTACCATTTGAGTAGTTATTGGAAAATTACAAATGTACTGCTGGATGGTAAATAAGCATGGGGCTCTGCCTTTTAGCCACCTTTTTTATTAGTGGTGACACTAAATGGAACACAATTTGCAAAGTTTTATGTAAAGCAGACGAATTAACCTTTAAATCACTTTGTACACAGGTCAAGTTGAGAGTGGGTGTTTTGAAATACTTCAAATGATGAATTATGGTCAATAATGACGAGTGGAATTTGTGTGTTTAGCTATTTCGTAAATAAACAGACATATAATGATTAACATATTTCTCAAACACATTTAAAATTAAAAGATATTTCCAATTATACAGTCTCTGGAAATTTTCTGTGATTTTTTAATCCATGAAAATCATATGATTTTTAACGCAGCCATCTATAAGTTGCATAATATAGTAACATCCACGCACCCAGTAGAGTCTAAAAAGTCTAAAATTATTCCAAATTCAACTATACAAGGTGAACAAATACCGAAGCGCAACATTTTAACGTCTATACTGTCCATAATATGTAACTCACTTTTTCCAATATTTCAGGTATGATGGTCGTATGGAATTAAGGCACTAAAAAACTATTAGCCTCAAAGCACCATGACGACATTCCAGAACCTGCCAAGAAATCCCGTCTATAATGGAGTTCCACCATCTCTTCTCAGAAAAACATTTCAACCAGTTGTGTACGACAGTGACTTGAGATTTGATCACCAAATTATGGACAAATTCGTCGATGATGACGATTTTAGTGACCATGACTCTCATTATTCCGAGGATTTGGAAGACGACTTCCGGTTTCAGTTGTTGAACTGCCCGTCTGGTACGAACATGACTAAGCAACTTTTAAACTTTGCTGATCTGGTAAACAACGATATTAAAAAGTTTTTTGGGCCAAAGAAAGGTTCGGATGACACGTGCGATATCTATGCTGATAAATGGAAGACAATAAAATCTGGTCGTGAACGTTATTATAGAGATTTATTACGTATCGCAGAAGGAGACAATGATCTTAGTAAAAATGGCAAAGATAATTCTGAATATAACCAAAAGATCGTAGATAATCGTCACACATTTTCTGGAAGATTGGATGAACGTTTGGGATTAGGACCATTGAAAGAGTTATTTGATAGAGGATTACATGGAACAAACTCTGAAAGAAAAACAAGAACGGGTAGGGCATCAAAATATGAAAGTGTTCCAATGCATCAAAGACGTTTTCCAGATTCATTTTGGAGACCACCTTCGAACGTTACAAAACGTTATCCGTTGTATATTCCAAATACTCATGTTCAAAATTCCCCCAAACCTCCCGATTTTAGTGATTTGCTGGAAACCTGGACTATGGCAGCTGATAGTGAATTTAATGCAGACTTTTCCAGTGATGTCAACTCGCCAGTAGAATCATTTGTTCATCGACGGCTTTGAGATTTGTTTTTAATATGCAGCGCTATGAACTTGCCAAATTAAAACTGCCAGCAATACTTGATAATTGTAAAGTAAGAGTAATAATATGGATCTAAATTAAATAATTGTTTGTTTCATAAAAATATCTTTTTGGGAGTTGGGGGTGGGGGTTTTAGGGGTGTTGCAAATCATTTAATCCTTCAGTTCTAACTTAAGCGTTTCTAGTGTGTGAAAGCAAATTATTATTCCGATGCCATACTGGAGAATCGATTCAGCATGAAAGAGAGAGGAATCCAGTAGCTAACATATGCTAAATGATAATTGTTTATTGATCATATATACGAAACGGAAATCTTTCTGAAGACATTTTCATACGAAATGTCTTTTTCGGGTACATATTTGCCGTTTGAACCCGTAAAGACACTTTAAATTCGTAATGGAATAATGTTTAGGTGATTCCTCAGAAATGCTTTTTAGTGTAGATGCAACTTCAGTTACCGATAATACATGTCGTTGGGGGTTTTTTTTTTTGCATAACGTGTAGGCTTATTCAGTTATATATTTTTTTTCTTTTTTTGACAATGAATAGTGACTCCTTAGTTGTCGATATAGTTTTCATATACACAATGGGTAGCGGTTCTCTCAGTTACCGATCTATACGCTGTCTTTTTTTGACGATGGATAATTCTTCAGATACACAATGTGTAATGGTTGCCTCAGTTTCCGATATGCGTTCTATTTATTTTTACAATAAATAATAAACTTAAACTATTACAACAGTCACATAAATTTGGAGATAATAAATTATGATTTAAATGTATAGAATAATTATTTAGTGAATTATAAATGGTTGACATTTTGACACATTCTGTTATAAATGTGATAAGGATAAGTTACTATCTATAAAACACAAACAACATTTAAAAACATGATGTAATTCTTGTCAGACTTTGTTTTTTAAAAAAAATGCTCTTTATACTTCTAAAGAAGGTTGTTCTTCAAATCAAGCCACTTTATTGAAAAGCCTGTTCATTTGATTGAGACCTGTAATACGCCTGACCAAAATCAGGAATTTCAGTGAATAGACCCCATTAAGTAAGCTTCAATCTGATCCACTAAATTTGTTTTCAGACATGCAGATTTAGTAGAAAAAAATATTTATGGTTACAGTTGCCATTGTGGGTGGAGTAGGTCTTGAATGGTAAATACAGTAGAGTGATATAGGCGTGAGTTATCAGCAAGGTACAGACAATATTAGAATTTATCATTGAAACAATGACAGGTCCACAATACCCCGTATCAAGATATTACATTCTTATATTATCTTATATACAGGTTTACTTAAATTTTAGATAACTTCGTTTACTTTGGTTTAACTTCATCTTCAAATTTAGAGTGGTTCTTAAATAGTTTTAAAAACTTTGCATTCCAACATGATTCAACATGAATTTTAAACTGTCTCGCTGGAGCCTTACAAGTCGAGGTAGCTAAACCTTGGGTAAGCCAGTAAATCGCTATTAACAATGACTGTGACTATAGATCAATGATAGAACAAAAGTGTAAAGATAAATCAACAACCAAAGTCAGATATTTGAGTACATCTATCAATTAGTCTAATATTTCTATTTAGATTGACCGACAATAGTTCACAACTTCTTTATTAACTCTATTAACTTTATTAAATAAATTAGTCACAGAAGACTTCACCTGAACTCAAAATCTAACATCTACCTGATGTCAGCTATTGTACGGTAAGAAAAAATCCGAAGGCTATGGCTCAGTGAGTTAGGCGTTTTAGATCGCTTTTACAAGGTTAAAAAACCCTGGATTTTTCAACACGTTTTCTTCTTGCTATGCAGTGATGCAGGTCGGAGGGGCTGGCATGGAAAAAAAACAACCAATCGTTAGGATGGGACAACAAAATGAGGCCCCGTATTCTTCAGATCACTGGGCGGTTGGAAATTGAAAAAGAGTAGGCCGAAGGCTAATGTCGCTGTCTTGGCAAAATATACCACATAATAATATATCTAACACTGCATGCCGTTGCCCGTCTTCATTAGGCCATTATAGGTTTCATTTTAATTAGATTAAGCCTACAGTGCTCATTTGATTGAGTTTTTCCATGTCTCTTGTTAATCAAAGAATCGAGAGAAAAAATTCTGTATAGGCCTAATCATATTTCAAATGGTCGATTTTTTTAACGATTGTTATTTTCAGCAACCCAAAGTTAATCCATGCTCGGACACATTTATTCGTGCGAAATATCATGGCGTAACACTCAGAGGGCATAGGCTAATATTTTGTTACCTGTTCTCTGGCTTTTTGACCACCTTATTGAATTTCTAAAAAGACTTCCAAATTGAAGTTGTAAAATAACTTTGTTCTTGTGTTAGTGCGCATGCAACATGTAATAAATTGTCTTTTGAGATTTGGTCAATAAAATTAGTGAGTAAGAGTTCATTATATTTTTATATAAAAATGCCTAAAGCAGGGTCTAAAGTTGGTTTCGATGTTCTTCAAGCTGCTGTATATAAAATGACGGAGTGACGGGTGAGGTAGAATTAATTGTATAAAATTAATGTGAATTTTTTTTTTACAGTAGGCCTATCCTTATCATTCTGTTTGTATTTCATAACTTTTCCACTTCATGTTGGTCTAAAAAGATCGTTCTGGAATGTCACTCTATAAGATTTATTTTATTTTATTTTTTTTTTTCATTTTCTTGTTTGATTTGGGTGTGTTCCACCAGATCTTTGAAAAAATTATCATTGTTGATAGTGATGGGCAATCGGACGAAAATAATAATCGATCAGAGAGGCATAATCGCTTATGTAATCGATTAATAATAGAAACACGTCCTATTTAATGAACATGTACCTGTTTTAAGGCTTTATGAATTAATTTATAGTTCTTTTGTTAATTATGATAGGTTTGATGCAGGTAATTACACTCAACACTCTGAGAAAACAAATTACTTTTTCATTTGCATACCATTTTTTTTGCTGTATAAATTACATAGCAGTTGAAAATTCTGTGGCACTTTTTAATGATGTAGAAGTCTTGCTCTTAATTAAGTATTTTTAATAAAAGTTATACAGTAGTGTTATAAAAATAACTTTGATTCTTGAATTGTAATTTTAATACTGGTACCAAACAAAAATGCAACAACAGTAGCCTGTCTTTAACCTCAAAATAATGTACTCTTATATCAATGCGATGCGCGTCCCTTTGACACACCGGGGGCTTGTTCGGCCATTTTTGGAAAATACGTTGTATATAAAAAAAAATGAATAAATCTCCCTGAAATTAACCAGAATGAAAAAAATTGAAGTCGCAATCAATACGTAATCAACCATTTTTGCCTAATATTAGCGGTCCAAGAATTAGTTATCATAAAAGTCGTAAGGTCAAAGTGACCGAACGTGCCCGGGGCAAGTTCGTTCATCTGGGGGCAAGTTCGACAGTCAAATGAAAAAGAGGCTTTGTACCATCCTAATTTTATGTATTCAAACAATAATAATACACCAGTTGCACCATGACCTAATATCATCCATTTTAGTCGTCAGAGTCACAGTTATGGCAGATGTAATGGACCATGCCGTGGGTATCCACACATTTGACCACATTTTGCATTGAGAAAATTGGATCCACTTTTCTCTTGATTTACTTTTATACCAGGATTCCATGCAAATCAAACACTCTCAGAGTCTACAGGTTCTTTGCGAATTGACTTCTTCTACGGAAAAAGAGACTTTTTAACTGTGCGATTTTTCACACGTTTTCGTATAGAATCATTTTGTTTCACCCTTCGTTGTTTGTGCTCGGATCTTAAGGCTTCTTTCTGCGTTTTCTGCTTTTAGTAGAGTTGCGTTTCGGAGCTTTTGGGTGTGGTTTTATTGTTTCTGGTGAGAATGTTTCACTTGAGTTGGATCGAAGAACTTGATTGTTGACATATGTTTGGTACAATAGATTGAGATGCTATGGTATGATCGGAAACTATTGGATGATGTGGCCCGCAGACAATGCTCTCCGTGTTCCGTGTAAAGTAAGGTATGCAGTGCTCTGAAATTTCAACTCCAGGTCAGCTTGGAAGAGCTTCTAACAATTCCGTCCGATTTTCTCACTACAACGGCCTTCATATTCATAGCATTGCAGAATGCACTCACAAATATGTCACAAGCGTTGTTGCTGTCTGTATTGTTTTTCAGCTAAGAATCCATGTACGGCCTCTGATACGTCTATGTCATCCGTCACACACAAATCTTGATAGAACTCTTCATGATCACGGACTTCGTTGATTAACAACGATCCGAAGTCATCACTAGTGAACGTCCCAGCCCCTGCTGCATGTAGAGAGGAACTGACGGCGTACATCAGGCAATGGCATCACCTCTTACAGGTAAAATTCCAATATTATTGTTCTGTAGGAAGCGGATCTTCACAGGATCGGTATCATCAGATGTGAACATTGAGATTCTTTCTACATTTCCTTCCGAAATTTCCGTCGCCTTATTCGGACGGTCGGTCACTTCGACTGGTGCAAATTCGTCATCGCCGAAGATTTCGCTGTTGAATGGAAATATGCCAGTTTTCTTGAAGCCATTGCATATGTTGATCATGGTCAGTGCCTCTTTACATGGTTCGCAAAAAATACTTGCTATCTCATATATGGTAATCGGCTTCCCTGGATTGCTTCGTAGCCAGATAACTTTCCGAACACGGAAATATCCAAGGGTTGCAATCGATGAGAGCAGTGAGGTGGAAACGAAAACATGGTGATGCCATTTTGCTTGGCATAATCGAGGCATTCAATCGTTAAGTGAGAGTCGTGAATGTCGAGTAAGACCAACACTGGCTTTTCGTTTCGTTTTACGGTTTGACATGATCATAAAAATGTTTTAGAAACAATTAAAAATTGTCACCATTCATCCAACCTGATTGGTGGGTTGTTCCTTTCGTTCCAAGTGGCGCTCCTTGCAAGAAATAGTCCTTAAAATTCACGCGCGGATAGATCAGAAATGATTGAATACATTGAACACTTGCTGATACTCCTGCACATAAGGTCACTGACTGCCCTCTTTCTGCTGACGTCTGCGATCCTACTTGTTTCATGCCTTTACCAGCCACTATTTTATTCGGCTTCACTACTGTTATCACTCCGTTCTCGTCAACATTCCAAATATTGCAAGCTTTGAATTGGTGTTTGTCCATAACATTAGCCAGATTTTGAAAGAATAAAGATACATTGGTTCTCTGCCTCACCGAAATGTCGTCTGCTATCCACTTCAGTTTAATACCTTATTCAGCACAATCTGTGACTATGATAGGCCTACTACCGGTATTTATTTTCTGTGTCAATTCTTAGGCTAGTCTCCGAGAAAAATTAATGAAAGGTGTGACAAATTATCAGGATCTCATTGTTTCAGTCATCCAATCTTTATTATAAGTTAAAATTTATTTTTAGAATTTTTTTTATTATTTGCGGCCTTTCAGTTGGGAATTGATTAGTAAGCTAACATCGTTGGACTTTCAACGACCGATAATCGATTGTCGCCGACATTCAGAACATCACTAATTGTTGATAAGGATTTCTGTGTCTAAAGTGAACAGATTTACATATTTCATCTGCCAAATATCTGTCCAGTTTACTAGGTTGTTGCTATCAGATTGCATTCTTTGTTTTCTCGATTCATCAAGCCAAGGTTAGCCCAGAGCCGTCTATATACGCCGTCTATATACGGCTCTGGGTTAGCCTATACCTAGTTTTGTGTTGTCTACAAAAGAGTTACGTCCCTTGAAAGATATTAATTATGGTTTACATCAATAAGTTATATAACTCGTTGGTTTACATACCAATATCAATTTTATGCCTTACATTAAAACGTGTAATATATATATATTTTTTTTTATCTGGGTGAACTATTTCGAGTATAATAATTTAATCATATATCTTTCCAAATTATCAACAACAAAATCATTTAATTCAAGGGAAATAACATGTGAAATGATCTTCAATAAAGAAAACCTGAAATGGCCTATATTTTGTAAAATGCCCGCCCATGGTTGGTAAAAAAAAATGTCTTATATGTTCATTATTTCTTCAGAATCCAAAATAATACTATCCACAACTGGCACTAGTCGACTCTCTACTGAATAAACTCTTCTTAGTAGTAGATTGTCTTTAATGAAAAAGTAAAGCAATCCACAGATGTAGGAGGTCGTTGAGTCGACTGAGGATTATAGGATTGGCATAAATATAAATTATCAGCCTTGTTTTGAATCTTGAGAATCCCTATATAAATATTTTTAGTGTTTTATCCACGTCACAGACTTTACTCACCTTACTCGTTTTATTTGTAAAAAATCTGTACATAGTTTTTGGAGCCTTTGTGAGTTATAGTGAAAATGAGTGATTTGAAGTTTGAGAAACAGAAGAGTGAATGTCTTTCTGGTATAGATTGGAGTAGAAAAGGTTCAGTTGATATACCAATTGGAGATTTAGTGCAATATATAAACAGTTTAAATCACTATTTTACCACCAGTTCATGTTCAGGCAGAATAATGGTCTTCCAACAGGTAAGCACAATAGTAATTTTACTTGCTAAATGTCTAAATATAAATTTTAAGCAATTCTGGAACCATTAAATGGATACCGGTATTTCATAGATCTTGCCTCAGATTAGTATTTTTGTTCATATTGTTATTACGGTACCGGTATGGATAGATTTACTTGTTGGCACTTTAATGGTGTCTTTTTCCAGTCAACCTAGCTGTAAATGGGTGCAGATAAGCCAGGAAAGATCAATGCCAAGAGGTTTGGCCAAGGACCAGCTGGTAGAAAGGATCCTTAACTGTGAACCTAAGTTGTTATCCTTGTAAAATATTCTTTTTTTGTTTCTGTTAATTTTGGTTGTAATTTCAGAGCAATTGTCAAGTATATAAATTTGTCAGTATTATCTTATTACAGGAGGATAGCAGTATAATACAGAAGAAAGGCTGTCAATGGTTGTATACCACTCATGAAGATGCTCAACTCAAACCTATGGTTAGAATATGTTATATGAGATGAGATAGGGATGGTCCTGGAAAGAGATATTTTAAGCTTACTTGTGAACGATTTTGAAGAAAATATTATGGCTACAAAAAATGAGATCTATTTGAGATATCTAGATTTGGCTCCTGACAAAAAAAGGCTTTTGTTTCAGTGCTATATATTATTTATTTAGGTTGAAAGTTTAAAGAATATAACAGGCAATGCAGTGTTCAAATTTGAACCATTTGTTCTGCATGTTCAGTGTAAATGTATAGAGGATGCTCAAAAATTAGTAAGTTAATGTACAATCTCAAATTTACTAGATTCTAGAGGCATGATAAATCCAAAATTCTAATCTTAGGTTTGGAAATGTATGAATAAGCATACATTTGTAGTTAAAAATAAAATATGTCATTGTAAGCTTACTAACATTATTTTCAAATGCTTGATTAGGATACTGAGCGTTGCTTACATTTAATCAAAGTCTGTGATTGTGTTTCAGCATACAGTAGCAATAGCATCAGGGTTTAGAAATTCTGGAATAACTATTGGTAGTAAAGGTAAAATAATAATGGTAAGTACATTCAATAGTTTTATTGATGTCTTTTTTAGTTGACCAAATAAGTAATAGCCAAACTACAAATTCATAAATAGAATTTACGGTAATTTTCACCCTGTAAATTTGTGGTCGCATGATACAATAACATCTCATGATATTACTGAAATAAGCAAGCTTGGTGTGTAGAGAAGAGGAAGATTGGTTGAGAATTTGAGATGATACATTTGTATTTTTCAACCCCATGTCAGTGATGCAGAGGCTACCTGGAAAAAACATCCAGTTCTTCTATTGAGACAATTGATAGGTGCCTTTTCAATGCAACTTATATGTGAGTCAACCCTCAGTTTTCTATTGAGCTCTTTCAAAGATGTTCTTTTTATACGCCCACATGAAATGGGGGGCGTATATTGCTGTCACTTATGTCCGTCCGTCTGCCCGTCGGACTGTCCGTCCGTCCACAATTGCTCGTAAAAACTCTACAAGACACAATTCTTGACGGATTTTGACAAAACTTGGTCTGAAAATCAGAAGAATCGAAAAACATTTAGTATGAGTTATTGCCCTTGTTTTTGAAAACGCGATCTATTTTTAATTCGTAAACACTCTAGAAGGCACAATTCTTGATGGATTTTGACGAAACTTGGCATGAGTGTTTGTTATCAACCAAGGATAAACCCTATTGAAAATCAGAAAAATATTTAGTATGAGTTATTGCCCTTGCTCTTGAAAACGTGTTCAATTTTAAGCTCTTGAACACTAAAAAGCACGATTCTTGCTGGATTTTGACAAAACTTGGTTTTATTATTCAGTCCTGTGCTGAAGATTGAATATTTGCCTTCTGGAGTTTTCACGAGCTAAAAATTGAACACGTTTTCAAGAACAAGGACAATAACTCATAATCAATATTATTCAGTATCACCCTAAAGAGTTCAAAAGAAGTGTATGACAGAAGGTTGGATATTTCATACTGGTGATTGTTACTGTACTGCTAAATATTTTTATTCAAAAATCAAAGCTGCCAGTGGGCATATATTACCATGCCTGGCAAGCTATCTTTATCAATATGAAACTATCTGTGTCATCATAAGAGCACATTTGCAAAATTGAGGGTACTTTTAGTTGGCTGAACCTTTTCAAGGTTTCTTGACATTTGGAAAAAGTTAATATTATCTTCATTTTCTGTTATTTTAGGCAGTAAGAAGTACACATTCTTTGGAAGTTCCATTATCAATTAAAGGAGAAGTGTTAGTTTCAGAAAAAGTAAATAAATATATTGTAATGTGGAATCATATTAAGCACACTTATTTTAGTTTTGATGTAGTTGATTACGTGTTATAACCTCATGATGTTTCTTTATAAGTAAGGAATTTTAAAAGCAAGATGTATTCAGGAAACATCTGTAAGATTTGTAGTATAATAATCACAAACTTTATAAATAAAATAATGACCATGACATTAATTTGTACCTCAAATAGTTACCATTCTTATTCTAGTATTTATATCATCTGGTACAATTAGCTAATGAAAAATTGCATGAGAACTTCTGCAGAATACAAAGGTAAGCAAAGCCATATGAAAATCATTTTATTGTTTAGAAAATTTAAATGGACAAAATATAATTACAAATGCTTAAAATCTCAAAATTAAATATACCAGTAAATATTCAACTTTTTTTCCAGATTTTATGAGAATTTGAAAGAAATGGTCACAGCACCAGATAAACAACAACATAAAGATGTCAAAAAACAGAAAAGAAAAGAATTAAAGCAGGAACAAGATAGAATAAGACAGGAGAGTAAATTAAATGTAAAAGATTGTCTTTCTACAATGGAAGATGACCTAGATTTGAATTTCATTTGTTTTGATGATAATACATGACATTGACTAGTTTCTATTCATTCGTAATAAAAATTAAAAATCTATTTCAAGATGAAGGTCTATGAACAACATCCTTTCCATGCATTGCAGTTTTATAGTAAATCATATATGGATAACTATAAAGCATATATGACATACATAGAAAAAAAATCCCAATTAGTGTGTCATTTATTAAACAGAAAGAGGATGACAATTAAAATCATTTTCAAATGAGGTTGGAATGTCATAAATCACAATAACTATATGCATACATGTACTAAAATCAAGATTCTATAGGGAAAGTTAATTTGAAATTCATATCTTTTATTTGTCCTTGTCCTGTCAACTGTAATGTATCTGTATATAGTTTAAGTGTAGCTAGTGGTGGAACACTATCTGGTGGACATTCTAAGATAGCAGGAAATGTTAAATGTGGTATGTTATGATCATCTATACCAAATCCTCCATCATGATCATGTCCTGAGAAGTAAGCTATAACACAGGAATATTGGTGAAGAATGTTTAAAACTTCATCATAGTTCCAAAGTAAATTCATAGTATCTATTGGTGTTGACAAGATAGGAAGATGACCTGCAAGAAATGAAATATGACTTGTTTTTACAGGCTGTTTCAAATACAATATAACAATTCAAATTTACATGATTGCAGAGAGTTCTAATGCAAGAAATATTAAGAATATGTCTTCAATTCAAAACCAAACCAATCCACAGTCAAATAAATTTGTGAGCTATATTTTGATAGTTTGTAATGTAATGTGACCTAACAATAAACTTACCTATTACCAGTATGTTTTCTCTCTTATCTTGACTATGTTTTAAAATCTTCTCTAACCATTGTAACTGGTCGTCACTTACACCACCATTAAACTTTACAAATCTTCTATCTAACCCAGTCATATTACCAGGTGAATTTTTATCATCATTAACATTATTATCTAGATACCTCAACCCTAGCTGATGTTTTTCACTGGACTCTGGCCAGCCAATAACTGATATATCATAGGAATCCAGAACAATGATTCGAAAGCATGCATGTGGTAGAAAGGTATAATAAAATGAGGTATTAGGAGATGAAAAATCTTGACACTCTTTCAAACCAGCTGAATACAGTGGAGTGTTGATAAGTTCAGTACGTGTAAAGTTATAGAGTTCATGATTACCAATCAAATGATAAACTCTAAATTTCTCAAATGTTTTTATCACCCAGTCCAAAGATGATTGTGATATTCCATGACGTTTGTTAAATCCATCAATTATATCACCTAAATGAACAATAAATTCTACTTCTGGACTCATTTCTTTCCATTGTTTAACAGCCTTCTTTTGTATTTCCAAAGAATTTCTGTAATATCTTTTTTTAGTTTTTTGAAAATTGTATCCATCATCAAAATTGCCATATTGTAGATCTGATAAAGCAGCAAAAGTTACCAAAGGTTGATTTTTGTTGAAGGTTGTCATTTTCTTCATGGGCTGAAATAGATATTAATAAATCAAATCATCATTCAGTTAAAATTCCTGTTGGAACATGTCAATCAATTTTTAGCCTATGGATTATTACTTAATCTTGGTGCATGAGCCAATAACTATAAGGATCACATAACAATATGTCTAATCTTATTGCTACATACTTTTAAGTACATTTACTACAATGATTTCTGAATTGAATTTTGCAAATCATTTCAGAATGAATTGAAATATCAACTACAACATGCTACTGAGAGTCTTACATTGTCTTTAGGTTGATAAAAATGTTAACCACTAGAAAAGTTATTTACGGAAGCGTATTAGGGCCATTCATTTTTTTTTTTTTAATTTTCAAGTTAGTATGTTGAATTTTCAAGTAAGTATGTTGAATTTTCAAGTAAGTATGTAGAATTTTCAAGCTAGTATCTTCAATTTTCAAGCTAGTATCTTCAATTTTCAAGCTAGTATGTTGAATTTAGTATATTGAATTTTCAAGTTAGTATGTTGAATTTTCAAGTTAGTAACTTGAATTTTCAAGTTATTATCTTGAATTTTCAAGTTAATAACTTGAATTTAAGTTAATAACTTGAATTTTCAAGTTAATAACTTGAATTTTCAAGTTAGTAACTTGAATTTTCAAGTTAGCATGTTGAATTTTCAAGTTACTAAATTGAACATACTAACTTGAAAATTCAACATACTAACTTGGAAATTCAACATACCAATTTGAAAATTCAAGTTACTAACTAATAATGCGATACCTTCAATGAAAGTTTGTTTTTATATTTTATCGATTTGTTTAGCCTTTTAAAACAACATCTGACGTCTGACTTCAAATTTTTCGTAAACAAGGGGTGCGCATTATACACGGGTAAATTGTTTTTTCCAGATTTTAATGGGAAAAGGAAGGGGTGCGCATTATATTCGGAAATATACGGTAACTTGAAAATTCAACATGCTAACTTGAAAATTCAACATACTAGCTTGAAAATTCAACATACTAACTTGAAAATTCAAGTTACTAACTTGAAAATTCAACAAACTAACTTGAAAATTCAACATACTAACTTGAAAATTCAAAAAAAAAAAAAATGAATGGCCCTAATGCCCTTCCGTAGTTACCGGTATTATTAGCAAACATGATTTAACCGAAAAGAAGGTCATTTTCTGGGAGGAAAGTGTGACTATTTCAAAGTTAAATAACTGAACCTTATATTTCTATGGACCCGAAAACATTCTTAAGACAAATGGTATACACTTGAAAATTTTATTTTGAATATTTAGAGCTCAATAGTAAAAAGCTGAGATTTAAGCATAATTTTAAATGACAGAAACCCTTGACAATGACAACACAACCAAACTCAACATCACATGCAACTGAGTTATTAAACCATGCCTGTTACAGACCAAGACCTATTAATACATCTATAAAACATTTCAATGTGGAGCTTCTCTCAAATATGATGAATGACATGACATACCTGTCTCCTTCTTCACTTTTCGTCAAGACTGCCTAGCTATTTTGAAGACAGTGGATTTTATTGCTGAAACACAAGACAAAGTGTCTTTATAGGAAATTACGAATCAACCATTTCTTCCAACACGACACAATTTACATCATTAATAACATGTCTGTCAGACCTTCCCTAGTTTCATCATACCAATGTTTTCATTACAAGTAGGCATAGATGTATATGTAGGCTATATATATTTTACCTCATAAAAATGAGAAATCTTTAGGGGAGATCACACAGAAATTATAAGACACTATTTAATTACTCGAAACTTGAGTTTGGTTATTTCCCATTAAATATCTTACAAATGATTGAAAAAAAGGATTTTAGCTGTACATTAAGGTCAAAAATCACCTAATGTCAATGTTCAAGGTAATTCTTAGCCACTGCTTTTCGTGGGAAATATCAGTATAGGCCTAGATTTAAGTATATAGTCATCTAAAAAAAGACATTGACCCGTTTTTATACGCCCAGATTAGGTGCTCGTATATTGTCGTCGCTACGTCCGTCGGTCCGTCCAGAATTGGCTTGTGAACTCATAATAGACAACAGTTTTATCTGATTTTTAATGAAATATGGTGTGATCATTTATATTTATGAGATCTCAGAAAAGTTCGAATTTCGACTTGTCCGAGATCTTATCAATTCCAATGATCACAACAAGTTTCATCAGAATCAGTTGAAAACTGTAGCTTCAATCCTGCTCACGAACTATTTTTAACAAATTTCAACCCGTTTTAACAAAGTCAAGGGCAATAACTCAAAAACCGTTCATTGAAAATGCGTCAAGTTAGAACTTGTCCAAGATCTTATCAATTCCAATGATCACAACAAGTTTCATCAGAATCGGTTGAAAACTGTAGCTTCAATCCTGCTCACGAACTATTTTTAACAAATTTCGACGCGTTTTAACAAAGTCAAGGGCAATAACTCAAAAACCGTTCATCGAAAATGCGTCAAATTAGAACTTTTCCGAGATCTTATCAATTCCATTGATCACACCAAGTTTCATCAGAATCGGATGAAAACTGTAGCTTCAATCCTGCTCACGAACTATTTTTAACACATTACGACGCATTTTAACAAAGTCAAGGGCAATAACTCAAAAACCGTTCATCGAAAATGCGTCAAGTTAGGACTTGTCCGAGATCTTATGAATTCCAATGATCACACCAAGTTTCATCAGAATCGGATGAAAACTGTAGCTTCAATCCTGCTCACGAACAATTTTTAACAATTTCAAGGCGTTCTAAGTCAAGGGCAATAACTCAAAAACCGTTCATCGAAAATATGTCAAATTCGAACTTGACCGAGTTCTTATCAATCTAAAGCATCACACCAAGTTTTATCAAAATCAGATAAAAACTGTAGTCTCTATAGTGCTCACAAGAAATGTTGACGGACGGACCGACGGACAGGGGCGACGACAATATACGACCACATATTCATGTGGGCGTATAAAAAGCGTCAAGATTTGTTTGTGAACGCAATAGAGACTACAGTTTTCATCCGATTTAAATGAAATGTTATGTGATCATTTATAATGATGAGATCTTAGTCAAGACTGAATTTGACGATTTTTCAATCAACGGAATTTGAGTTATTGCCCTTGACTTAGTAAAAACGCTAGTTTGTTAGAGGTGATAGAGGTGAAAGTTTAGGCCTCTGTCAGGATTTTATTAAATTTTGTTTGTTTGATTAAATCAACAATATCTTGCACAAATTAGATTTTTGATATGATTTAACATAGGTTAGTGACCGACCTATATACATGTATACTGAAAATGTATCAGGAAAGTGAGCGTATCTTGCTAGGCAACCACTTGTTAGCCTATATATAGGATAGAGGCTAGCTCAACATCTGTTACTACCAGTGACAACTGCCAGTCCGACAACATCTATTACCAATCCTACTACTAAATTCAACAACTTCCCCCACTACAAGACCTTAAACATCAACTTATAATAAGCAGTCTTACTTTCAATACCCTTAACAACAAACGTCTCTTACCACGAGTCCCCTACTACCAGTCCCTCGGAATCCTATACTTCAAGTCTAGCCAGTTCTCCTACAAAAAATTCTACCTAATGTAAGCTACGACAACATCCTAAAACCAAGAAATAGTACGAAATGTTGTTGGACTCTAGTAAGAGATAATGTTCGACTTGTAGTAGAGGATGTTGTTGTACTGTTTATTATTATAGAGGATGTTTAAGATCTTGTATAGTGGGGGAAGTTGTAGGATTGGTAGTAGGGGATGTTGGCGGCGCCAGCCTTTCGAGACTCGGTGTACAAATAGGGGGCAGACTGACTCAATGGGGGACAGCTGCTGAGGCTGAATTCAAATTTTGGCTACTCTGTGGTGGTATCATAGTCGTATCATAGAGCAGCCTAGAAGGTTCTTGCAAGACAATTTTAGAAAAAATGAATTAATTTTGTGTATTCTGCCACATTTTGGAGAAAAAAATGTATACGGCAGATTTAAGAAAACAATGTCAAAATTCATCAAAATGTAGTGTTTGGCCCTGTTAAAAAGAGGGTTTGACTAAAAACAAATCCGAAAATAACCACATTTTACCTAAAATAGCAGGTCTTCGGCTCCCACTGTCTACTAGTATATTATATCTACCTGCCAAGTTGAAAATGTTTCTTTTCTGAATATGTTAACTAAATGATGTACCTATAAAATCACAGCCCTCAACCCGACCAAAAGATGTATAGATATGAAGTGAGCCGTGCTGGAAATACTATTATCGAAATAGAGTAAGCACTTTCTTCCAAGTGCACAAGATAGCATCTCCGATTGGGAGACAAGACTATTACAAACGTATTCAACATGAAAGTTTCCATTTCAATTTAATCAACACCATCAGAATGTTCACTTTAAAATAGTCTTTGTAAAAAATTGAGTGTTTTTAACGGTTATAACTGTGTAAGCTAGCTCTATGTATTCAGCTGCTGTCGCTTGTTTCAACAGAATTTAGTTAAAGGTGACAGAACAAACGATCTATATCTAACAGTTTGTAACATTGACCTATCCACCCGGCAGTAATTAAGACATCTGAATATCTGTGATTGTCTTTATTGATTCAGTTAACCTAGAAATAAAGACTAGTTTCTCATTTTAATGGTTTTGAGAAGAGTTGAGTAATTGGATGTAATCGAAGTAAATCAGGGACTTCTATAGAAGGTGTTAAAAGATGAATTCCAAGGTTAAAGGACCAGAAGCAGGAATGTTATATGGCTTATTACACCATTGCTTGCTATGTGGAGCTAACTTCAACCACATTTCTTTGCATTGTAGATTTCTAAAAATCTAGTCAACATCAAGAGAATACTCATGGTTCCTAACAAATCAACAACGGTTAACCAACTATTCCTATGCTAAGAAGTGTATCATGGATCATATATCGAGGTGTATATACTGTGAATGCAAAATTTGACAGACCAGTTAGCCATGACAAATGTTCTTTTTTGCTCAGCGGTGTAGATTTTTTTCCAGATAAAAATAATGTTTAAGTATATTGCTAATCTTTTCCTTCAAAGTTAATTCTAAAAGTATAAGTCTTCTATCTATTTGTCTGTATTGTCTCCAAGTTTTCGAAGTGGAAACCTTATATACATGCTGTTGCTGTCAAATCATAAAAATCCCTACAAAAAATAAAAATCCATAAATATTCTGCTGTCATGTTTCAGATAATTAAAAATCATAAATTTATTAAACATGACGAATATTTCTTTTAGAGAAGTTAATGTACATTATAAATGGCATTTTATATGATGGCAAACATGGTTGTTTTTTTTTATGCCAGCACCAGCATGATTTCATCAAGAAATGAAAATATCAATTAAGAAATCTTTAAAGTTACAGTGTTGTGTTTTTTTTCTAAAATAACTGCATTAAAGATGGCTTTCCTGTCAATATAAGAGTTTGAACGCGAAGGAGCTAAATAACAGACGTTTGCCACAAACTCATTTACAATCTTTATTATTTTCAATAGAATATCAACAACAAAAATATGCAGAAGATCACTCTGTAATTTAGACATCAAGTTTAACTTTAAAAAATATTTTCTTTGATATGTCTGGGCATTCATTTTAAAATCATCATTTGGCGTATTCATTTTGAATATTAAGCAATTTGAAAGTAATCGGAAAGATCTATGTGGTAAATCTCACCGTTCAATATTGACGGAAATAATGGCTCCTTTTGAAGTAGTCTCAACAGATTCTAGTGAATAAAGTTAAGTTTAAGCCTCCACAATCTTTCAAACTAGAAAATCTACCTAAATTCACACAATTTTCTCCAAGGACTTTCCATTAAAAGATTGTGGTGCAGTTGAAAGTCTAATGTCAGGCTGTAACTAGTTTCTTATCAAACTTTTAGATTAACTCTGTTTATTCAGTGGAATTCATAAAAGTGGATAATTTCATTAAAATCTGAAGACAGTGATGCAAGGTAAGATTTAATTTAATTTTTCTTGAAACGTGCTTTTAACAGATACTATTTAAATGGTCATAATATGATTTTATCATTAAAATTTTCACTGAATTATCTCCATATAATTCAAGAAATACAATGTATTTAACTGTATAAAAATTGGAAATATAACATTAATGAAACTTAAAGGATGTAACCTGAATAAATATTGTTTATACAAAAATTTATATGAAGCAAAAAAAAAAAATATATATATACACCCACAGTCATATTCGATATAATCTTTGTTATAATGTATGATAATACGTCATCAAAAAGTTTAACAAATTCGACAATTCATCGTATTTTTATTGCTAGTATTTAGTTGGATAATGTTTTATTGAATAGTGCAATTGAATGGTTGGCTATATGTATAACATATGTGTTCATAATTATCATTATTTCGTCAAACAATCAAAGGCAATGCCCAAAACCAGTCAGGTTAAGTCAGACACGAAAATATCATCCTTGTCAGAAGGAAATATACACTCAACAACAGCCTGATGTGCCCTTTGTTCTACGTT